CAGGTATAGAGGTGCTTTCATGTTGTGCGGTTGCGAATTTGCCTTGTTAGCAACGGACAAGTCGGCTTACTTACAGAGATGACACGAAACGCTACACCTCCCCTCTTTGAGTGCTATAAGGCCTAAGGATCAGAGTAGTGTCTTCTGCTGGGTAGTGATTGTTGACCTGTAGTCTTAAAAGTGTTTCCACTCCAGACATTTGGCCACTTCATAAACGACCATGTTCAGCGGATATATTGAGCGATTCTGAAGAAGGAGCATGCAGGGAACGTAAAAGCATCCGCATATCAGACCGGCGCATGAGAGTTCGCATCCGGAATACCCTGGAAAGTCGGAGGCATTTAATATTTCAGCGACCTTACTGTTATGCGCGATTTGCGAACATGTGCTGTTTACGCATGACCCATCTTGGCGCATGTCTTCACGCTAAAGACTTCAAGTTTGGTGTCTCGTGTGTAAAACAACGTGCGCTTCGAACAGTGCAGCTCTGTCGGGAATCTTTTCTACTTGTATGGTACCTAAGGCTGCGTGTTATACTTGCGGCAGCGTAGCGTAGGCGCTTCCAGCGTACGCCAGCGCAAGTGCCGAAGAGAGGATGCATATCGATCTAGCTTCACAGCGTGTCACCAGCAGCACGCTGGCGTGAGCGAGGGCACGGGAAGCATAGCTATCGATCTAGCTTCACCACAGCGTTTCCTCGAGCGTTTTCTCCCAGCGGCACCAGGTTTTTGCTAGCGTTGCAGCGGCAGGAAGTAGAGACTATGTGCCCGTCGAAGACGCAGAAGCGATGTGCATTGAAGAGACTATGTGCCCGTCGAAGACGCAGAAGCGATGTTATTGTAAGAGACTATTGTGCCCGTCGAAGACGCAGAACGCGATGTGCATTGTAGAGACTAAGGGCGAGTGAGAGACGGCAATCGATGTGTTTTGTACCACTCCGCTCTCCATAGTCTCTACTCCCCTGCCGCTGCACAAAACGCTGGCAAAAAGCTGTGAAACCCTGGAGAAAACGCTGGCGTACGATAGCGTGCCGCTAGCGTACGCCAGCGTGCCGCTGGTGACGCTGGTGAAGCTAGATCGATTGCATTCCTCTCTTCGCATTGTGCCGCTGGCGTACGCTGGAAACCGCTACGCTACGCTGCGCTACGCTACGCTACGCTGCCGCAAAGTATAAACGCACCTAACGAAGAGTTAGCGTGCAATACGTTGACGCAGAGCATGTTTGTTAGGTCGTTGAAGAGAATTTCTCTGCTGAAACGGAAAGAGCAATTGTGCTGTGACGTACATATCATTTCGGCGTGGTGTCGGGAGTATCCTAACTGACATGTGCTCACGCGATGACACGTCATCACGGACAGAAGTACCGCTAAGTTCACCACAGCGTGCCCGACAGACATCGGTCGAAACGTTTTCAAGTCGATGGATGATTCACTGTTGTGACGTTGTTTACCTGTCATACGAGTGTTATCATCTCCGCCGATCGCACGAGGCGGGGAGCTAAGGCTTATTGTTTCCGACATGCGAGACGGCGCCACTGCGCTGTCCTGCGTATGTGCCATTTTTTCGTATAGCCCATATTAGCAGCATGCAGGTAGAGATAAAACAGCACGCTATTATCGAGATGGATATTAGGGCTCCGACAGGCCAACAGTGGGGATTCCCCAAAAGATTTCTTGACAGCAATGTTGTAGAAACGTCGCACACCGACGGCGCAAATAACTTTAGCCATCTTATAGGTTGACTGCTCTAGGTAATGTATTGTGGCATTTACTGTGTTATTTTGGCTCGTGGGTGCGAAATTGGAAGCCAACTTCCTATATGTTGACGAGAGGAACCTGCATGTAGTATCAATGCAAAGAGTGAAATTGCCTTGTGGTGGAAACACCTGCAATGAATCTTTTCTGCACCAAATTTTTGGAGAAGCTGCTGCCTGAGATGACGCTGATAGCAGTACAATTGTCGCTAGGAGTGCTACACTTGCATTCACCGGTGAAACCGCTCGTTTCAAATGTATGCTAGTATTTTCCGAGCTGTCTCTGATTCCTTGAATAGCTTTCAGTTTTGCGAGTCGTTGTGACCTTGGGGGAAGGGCTTCATGCGTCGAATTCTGCTCTTCCTGTTGAGGAGTTGGATCTTCAGCTGTGATGTCGTCTTCGAGCGATGAAATCTCTAGAGGATAGATTTTGCGCAAAGGCCTGAGCCAGACATGGTTATTAGGCATTAGGATTTTCACCGATCGCACCATGTTATCGGCGCTTCTTATCACTTTGACTATTTTGCCGCAACACCAGCTACCGCGAGGTAGATTTTCCTGCTCTACGAGCACTATCTCGTTTATTCTTGGTTCTCTTAGCTTCTGATGTCTATGTTTTCGTTGAATTGTCTGCATTTCTGGCAAGGCTGTGAGATATTCGGAGTGCCACCTTTCCCAGAATTTTTCTGCTATTCCCTCGCTGTTTTCCAGTGCCTGCTTCACTTGTGTAACCGACTGCATTAATTGTGGGTCGAGCGAGAGATCTTGCAGTTCTTCTTGATCCAGAGGAGTAACGCGTACCTGAGAGATTTTAAATCGATGGGTCGTAAGGGAATTTGTTCGACGTCAGAAGAGCAAGCAACCAGAGGTCGCGTGTTGACTAGCGCCTCTATTTCTGCGGAAATCGTGGAAAATTCTGGGTACGTCAGTTTCTTTCTCCCCACTGCTTTGTTGAATGCATGCTTGACCGTACCCACTAGACGTTCCCATGCTCCGCCCATCCACGGCGCTCAGGGTGGATTGAAAATCCATTGAATTCTCTTTTCAACGCAGTAGGACATGACACAGCTTTCCCCGCAAGTATCATCATCGAGATGAGGTCTTAGCAGGGTTTCTGTGACTTTTTGCCCAAGCTTAAAATTGGAGCCACAGTCTGTGCGGACCAACGACGGGACTCCGCGTCTTGATATGAACCGCTTGAAAGAGTTGAGGAAAGCTCCTGCAGACATGTCTTCAACTACTCCGAGGTGTATGGCTGTGGTTGTGAGACATGTATAGAGGCAGATGTAATCTTTATTGTGTTCTTTGATTGGAAATGTTCCCATGAAATCGCACCCAATTTTATCGAAGGGTCTTGTGAGAATGGCTCTGTCACGTGAAGGGATGGCATATCCGGTGCGGCGAAAGGGAGACCTTGCCACTTTTTGCATGTGGCGCAGTTCTTTACAAATTTTCTGAATGCACCTGATGGGCGGGGTATCCGGAATCGTGCTCTAGCTATGCATGACGTATGATCTTTTCCGCAACGTGCGTTCTTAAGATGAATGTCAGTTAGAAAGAGCCGCGCCAGCTCTGAGTCTTTGTCAATGTATATGGGGTTCTTGGTATCATCCGGAAGGATGGAGTTCTGTAGTCTTGACTGATTACGTATGACGCCTGCGGCATCTCGGAACACTTTTTTTTCTGAGAGAATCTCTTCTGAATTTCTTGCAAGGATAGAAACCTGTGCGCGTCTGCGAACAGGATGGTTTCGCCCATGGAGAATTCTTCGCCATTGATGTTTGACGATGAAAATTCATAGATCCTATCTAGACGAATACTGGGGCCATCCCTTCGGTTTCTGTTGACTTTATTTACCAATATTCGGATGATTTTGCAACCCTGGCTACGGTCCTTATTGCTTTATCCAAGCGAGAGAATCGTGAGAGAGAGATTAAACCCTGCTCTCCCCTCTGCTCTTCTGATGTTTTCGCAGCGATGTGTAGAGCTGTCGTGTTTCCTGTCTTCATTTCTTCATCTGAGCTTGCGATTGATTCGGTGTCGGTTATGGGTTTATATGTCAACAGACACGGTGTTTGTTGCTCCCCTAGCCACTGTGGACCAAGGACCCAGGGAAGTGTGTGAACGTGGTCCGCTCTAGCACAACGAGTTCCTGCATCCGCAGGATTCTTTTCTGTTGGTACATACCAAAATTTTACGGAGGCTCCTTGGAGTTCTAAGCTCGAATAATTTGTTCAAAATTTCATGCTCCGTTTCTTCAATGGCTGTCATGCTGTAGGAGATTTGCGGCATGGCGGCCATGGCATTATCGCCTACATCAGTGAATCCTCTCCCGTATACGGTGGGTGGTGTTAGCTATACGAAGTCCTGAAGGAGTCTTCAAGGTATCTAGGACGAAGCTGAAGTAGTAGTCAAGTCCCACCAGAACATGTGGCACGTGGTGCTCGCCCTTTATATGCGGATTACACACCAGAAGATTCTTTCGCTCAAGGAAGTCTTGGTCAATAGTGCATAGTTTTACCGCAGGGAATCCGTTGATGGGAATGGGTTTAGTTCGTACAAGTTTTCCAGGTCTTTTCCATACACTGTACCAATCTTCAAATGTACAATATTGCTTTCGAACGTCTCAGTTTTTCCTCCTATTCCAGACATTATGCATGTCTCCGTTTTTAGTTGCGGCGAGCACAATTTTTTCGCGAAATCTTCCTGGATTACCGTTTTTTGGGCGCCGGTGTCAAAGAAGAATATGGCTTTGTCGAACTTTTGCGCGTCATGATTCCAAATACATCCTTCAGCTGTCATGAGAGCTATTTGCTCTTTTTTTTGGTTTGGTGACATTTACGTCAATGTTGGTATGATTCGCGGATATTTCTCGTTCGGTATAGTCCTCCTCATTCTCCGTAATCGCTTTGCTGCTCTGCGGATCGTCGGTGGCGTCCCATCCTCTGTCATCGTCCACGTGAATGTTGATATTGTGGCCTTTGCGCTGCTGCAAACCCGCGTTGTAAAAGGTGTTGGTTTGCCCACTCTTCGGTTTCTTGTCATCATGCTTGCAGCGTTGTTTCCTTGGCTGCTCTGTTGTTCTTTGGGTTTCGCGGGAATCACCGGAACGTTCTGCTTTACTGGAGAAATGCGCTCGACCGCATTCTCAGTGGTGAAGCAGAGTTTAACATGATGCATTCTTCCGCATAAGCGGCATTATTTCTGGTGCATTGCTCGTATGATGAGGTGAGTAGCATTTCCAACATTAGCGCTTGCGAACTATGATCTCTCGTTTCTTAACTACCGGTAGCGACGATTGGCATTGCCATGTATAAAGCCCGTTCTTTTCACATATCGCGCATGCCTGCCCTGTTATGTCGGTGTCATCTGTATTTAGGTTTTTCCTGAGCTCACTGAATTGAATCCTCGATTGAATGTAGGCCTTGGTGGAAATCTCGCCACTAATCAATTCCATAATCGCATCCACAGTGAGACCATCGTATTCCCGAGTCTTTATAAGCACTGGTTCAACAATGTCTTTCGGAAACTTACTGAGTATTGCTTCTATCCACACAGAGCGTCTTTAGCTGACCATATATCATGACCGTGGAGTACATCTGATTCAGTAACATGCAGATGCTGTCGTAGACCGACTCGCAGCTATCGGCTGTTCTCTTGGCTTTTTGTAACGCGTTCGTTGAACTATGCGTGCTCTACTAGCTGGCTTATTCCCGTATTTCTTATGTAGCGTTTTGACCATCCACTCGTATTAGGTTGTCCGGAAAGTTCTCAGCGTTTTGGGTGTTTCACTGTAAACAATCGTAACTTTTTCAATTCTCATCGGATTTAATAGAAATAGGTACCATTCGAATCAGCACACTTTTGCCAATGTGACAGCAGTCGAGAAATCCCATCAAAGTAAAAAACTGATTGGTAGAAAATTCACGAAATCCACTAAGGCTTTTTTGCCTGGTCCTGATTGATGAAGTATTTTCCAGCAGTGCGAGTTCTGAAAATGTTAGAAAAGGTGATAGTCGATTGGCGAAAGGTCTGAAAGAATATGGTGGTTGAGGTAGAACTTCAACCCCCAATTTGTTCAATTTATGGATAGTGATTTGTGAAACGTGTGGCGGGCGTTGTCCTGCAGAAGAATCGGACCCTCTCTTTTATAAGTGTTTGGCTGCATCTGACAAAAATTTTCGGTACAATCTTGTCGATTTCTTCACAGTAGGGTTCTGCTCTGATGGTTTGGCGTGGTGATAAAAAGTTATAGTGGATCACACCAGCGAATGACCACTGAACCGTGACCAGAATCCTTTTTTTCGTGAGTTCGGCTTTGAAAAATTGTCTCAGGGGTCACCAGCAACCAACCACTGTCCGAAACGTCTCCTGTTAGCACACATAACCCATTTTTCATCACCGCTGAAACTCGGTTCAAAAACGGTTGTTATCGTTGCGCAAAAGCTCTGAAAGAGAAACGCGAGAACGTCCAATTTCTGCCGGCTCACTCAAATTGAGAGGCACCCAATTGTCGAGTTTTTCACCTTCCCAAGCGCTTCCAGACAATCTGCAACAGTGGATTTGCCAAGGCCTAGCTCTTCTGCTATCTCTCCGAACTGTTTGGAATGGATCACCTTCCCAAAACCCCCTAAAATCCTCGTCAGATATCGCTTTAGGTCAACGCCCTATAGGTTCATCTTCAAAGCTGAAATCTCCAGAACGAAATTTGTTGAGCCATTGCCGCAACAGTGCTTTCTCTAGCATATTGGCCCCCCACACCTGGTTAATGTGTTGAGCTGCTTCGATTGCGGATTGCCCCAATTTATAGTCAAAGAAAAAAAATCGTTCCGAGTGCTCTTTTCACATGCTAAAAAAATCTTGAAAAAAGAGGGTTTATCAAGCAATGGTGAAACGGCAATATATACCATCAGATAGCGCGAAAAATTCTCTACAGGATGCGCTTATAGAACGCAAGGCAGAATGAGTTTTCAATCAGCAGTGAATGTACAAAAAATAGGTGCCACAAAACGCTGAGAACTTTCCGGACAACCTAAATAGTTCTTTGGAGCCAGTTGAATTCCTCGAATTGATCGTCCGACTTCCCTTGTAGACTCTCTTTGAGCAGAAGCATCTTTCGATTACGCTGAGTGTGGGATTGTGTGCACGAGGGTTTCATAAATTGCCCAGAACTCCGGAATTCCTCCTCGTTTCCTGAGAAGGGTGGCCAGTTTGACTCGGTGAGCATCTGTACGCGTCGAAAAAGCGCCCACCCGCGCATTTCCTCCCTAAATACGAGGTTATGAGGAGCGCGTAACGCCTTTGCAAAGCATGCAAGTTGGGCAAGGGCTCGCTTATGTCTCGCTCCACTACATGTGTCATTCTTTGGACTATAGCCCCACTTTCGCTCGAGTCTTTTTTCATTACTGACCGCTTCAGTCAGGCGCGTTCCCAACATGAGGCAATCAACTGCATCCCTGATCACATCGTTAAAATGTGTCTCATGCTCCAGTTGTTCGAACTCTTGAAGAAGAGCTTTCTTGTCTTCTTTTGTTTTTAGTATCATAGGTATCTTTCATTTTCTCAGTCAACGATGAAGACGTTGCAAGTCAATCTGGGCTATACTGCCTCTGATTCAAGTCTATTACTCGCACAGTCTCATCCGTATTGCACCTCATCAGACTGATCCGAGATGGTCGCGGTTCTTATATACTTTGAAGTTTGCGAAGTAAGGTCTTTCAGCCGTGCCGGTGCTATGTATTCATCGGTTTTCCGCATATTTATCGACTGATTTTTCTCAGCAGACCAAAGTTTTTTTCCCGCCGATTCCACGAATTTCTTGTTGAACTTCTTAGAGTTCCTTTTCTCACTTCTGTGATCTCTCTTTGACTTCTACGGGTTTCCAACTTTTACCTCTGCGGGTGATCAACCTCTGCGGGTTTCACTCTCACCTGCTTAACCTCTGCGGGTTTTCAGCTTTCACCTCTACGGGTGTTTAACCTCTGCGGGTGTTTAACCTATGCGGGTTTTCAGCTTTCACCTCTACGGGTGCTTAACCTCTGCGGGCTTTCAACTTTCACCTTACCTCCTTGTTTTGGCCGATGCACCAAAACTGATACAGTAGTCTGGTGGTAGAATTTATCTCTCCAACTATCATTGTGACAAAGACACGCTTATATAGACGTGATGCGAGAATAAACATTACAACACGCGGAGGAATGCTAATGGGAATCAATCTCTTTCCTGCAACACTTATACATTGTCGACATAGAACATATCTATAGAGAATACAGCCTGCTCAGAGTATATCAGAAGTCGTGGTATGCTACGACAGTCTGGGGGTCAGACCCTGGATCGGCTCCCGCTCAAGCCAGCTGAGGTATCCATGGCTGCGGGGAAGCTAGTCGATAATATACTGTTCTGAAAGCATGAAAACCTCGTCTTCTACATTGGCAGCCCTCACCTCCCTGCCCCAGCCCTCGCAATTTGCATCGGCCAGTTCCCATTCAAAGACCATCACGGCTCTAAATATAAGTGGAATGTGTGCAGCATCCTGAAAAAACCTCATAAAAGTAAAGGCTTTCATCTTCGAGCTTTCCGATGCAGTATTGCTTCAAACAGCTTCGCCAACCTCAAAGTGCTGGGATGTTCTTCCGCGGGGGCGATGGTCAACTGCCATGCCTTAGTTCTACTCGGCCCCTCGGAAGAAGGAAGACACCTGCCTGAGTGCTCGCTTCCCCATTCCATTACCTTTTTAACAACTCTCGAAAAGCCTATGTTCTTCCAAATGCATTAGAAACTTCGATAATGAAACCAACATCAAAGGGGCAAAGGAGTGCCCCATCGTAGTAATTTTCAAAATTCTATCCCGCCAACGAATATAATCAAGTAACTCTGTTTTTTTCAGAAAAGCTTCTTCAGGCGCACTCAATTTGAGTAAATAAAGTTTTCCCATACCATTCAAAAATTGTACGTGAAACTACCAAAAAGCGCGTCACTTTGGGCTCGGTCCAATTTTTCTTCCTCGACTGTACACGCTCCTCATTGAAAAGTCATGTTCTCATTCTCACAATCAGCTGTTTGACTATGGCTTTGCTATAATTTCAATTTCCCTCACAACTGGAAGTTGATTCCATTTCAAACTTGATAACCATCTCTCATCAGCCCTGTGGCCACTGGCAGCCACTAGTCAGTCCGTCCGTGTAATAACATTTACTTTTGACCAGAATCTGACCGGAAGACCAGAATCTGAGATTAGCTTAACCCGCAGTACATACCAGTTCAGCGTGAAAACCTGAAATGCCCACACTCCAGAGTCAAAATTGACTTCATCCTCAGTGACCATTCCTAGCGCTCGAACAGGTTGTCCGGAACGTTCTCAGCGTTTTGAGTGTTTACCTTTAAACCATCATAACCTTCTTAATACTCATCGAATTTAGTCCAAATAAGCACCTTTCGAATCAGCACACTCTTGCCAATGTGACTCTGTTGATAAATCCCATCAAAGAAAAAACTGGGTGGGCGAAAATCCACGAAATCCACGAAGGCTTTTTTGCCTGGTCCTAAATGATGAAGTATTTTCCAGCTAGGAGGTTCTGAAAATGTTTGAAAAGGTGATAGTCGGTTGGTGAAAGGTCTGGAGAACATGGCAGGTGAGGTAGAACTTCAACCCCCAATTCGTTCAATTTATGGATAGTGATTTGTGAAACGTGTGGGCGGCGTTATCATGCGAAGGAATCGCAAGTTCTGTTGACAAGTGCTGGCTGCAGCTGACGCAATTTTCGGTACTTTTCATCGATTTCTTCATAGTAAGACCAGGGCACATCGTTGGTTGGGGAATCCCCAACAGGAGGTCGTATTTGGCCGCCAGGAGAGGGGGGGGTCGTAGTAAGTGTGGCAGCCAGTAACGGGCAGCGCAAATTGTCAATGTGCTGAGTCCTGTACAGCGAAACTTGCTTTGTAGAGAACTCGGACATGCAAAAAAATAGTGCAAAACTTTCATTCATCAAACTAATCCGGAATAACTGCAAATATTTATTAATAAGACGACATTAGCTCGTAAGTCCGTTGGTGACTGAACAGTACAACTCAAGCTCTGGTTCGCTGCCAACGATATGGCGTGTCCGCGGTCGCGCTTAGCGCTGAGCCAACCTATTTTTTCTCTACAAACGACAGGACTACCATATCGTTCGTATAGACGTTTTCCAGCAGTTGGTCTCCTTTACCGGAGTCAGCAACTGGCGGAGCACGAATCTGGCGGCGTCGACAGAGACACGTTCTATCATACGCAACGGAAAACACTGTAAACAATTGCACAGGCTCGCCATGGACCTCCCTGAACCCTATAGACACATTTGCTCGCGTGGACAAGCATTACGCACAAGTTGCACCATCCCATCACTTCTGCGCGGACCTGAGTGCGCAGCGCATCCAAAGTCAGCGTGATCGGCGCTAAACGAACCATATTCTGCTCCTGCTCCACCGCAGGATACGTTTTTCATGCGTTTCTGGTTATTCGAACACGCTCACTTGAAGCGGTACACAGGAAACGGGTTTTTCGCGCAGCTGGGAGTGTTCCGCAAGAATTCCCCATCGCGAGATCTTATAAATCCCGAGAACTTCAGAAACAGTTCAAGAGGTTTTTAGAAAGACAAATTCTTCAAACACTCAAAACCGTTCTCAGATTTGTGGAATGTTGAGTTACAAAAAAAATATATTGATTTAAACCTGTTCAGTTGAAATTGTTCGCCAACGAATCCTCATGGCAATTTTCTCTGTGATTTTTGCTACCTTCATAAACTTTTCAGTACTTTTAGGATGCGCAAACCTTCCTCTACACCAGTACGATCTCCTCTTCCCCACAGATCCGATTTTGAGGAAATTATGGTCCTTCAAAGACACCCCACTTTGCTGAAAACTCGCGTTCCACATGGCTGGTCCTGCCCAGAACCCCTTCCCCTGGTACCTCGGCCTTCAATCAGCTGATTTCGGCTGGTTTGCTCTCCTTCGTATTTACTCTTTCGTGTTTTTCTTCTTCTCGGTTTATTCGAATATCGAATATTTATCTTCTTCTCGGTTTGCTCGAATGTCGAATATTTAACTTCTTATCAGTTCACTAGAATACGCGTCAGAGCGCGCCCCAGCAATTTTGCTTGGACCGCTCAAAGTGCTTTTAGGAGAAGTTGTAATCTCCTGTTTTTTTTCTTTTAATTGCATTGATTTATGTACCAGAGTTTGTTTTGACTCGAGGAAAGGTGGGTGAAACCTAATGGCCTTTCTTTTCTATCCTCTTTTCTGAATCAGGAAAGAAATGAGCAAAAAGCGAGGGGGCTTGTTCAGGATTGTCACTTTTTATATTTTTCGCGCTTACTTATAATGAACTTATGAAGTTCCTTCCTCCTCGGGGGGGGGGAAGAAGAAACTCCATAAGTTTATGTATAAGGGGGGGGGGCGTACCGAGCCTCCAAAAAAAGGGGGGGGGGTCGTACGGGCTCGACCAAAATCCCCAGCTAATGCTGTGCCCTGAGTAAGACTCTGCTGTGATGGTTTGACCTGGTGACAAAAAGCTATAGTGGATCACACCACCCGATGACCACCACATTGTTATCATCTTTTTTTCGTGAGGATTCGGCTTTGGAAATTGTCTCGGTGGTTCGTCGGCATCCAATCACTGTCCAGAAGGTCTCATGTTATCATACATGCTCCATTTTTCATCACAAATGACAATTGGGTCCAAAAACGGGTCGTTTCTGTTGCGCAAAAGCAGTGAAGAAGAAACCTTGAAACGTGCCAATTTCTGCCGGCCACTCAAATTGTGGGGCACCCACTTGTCGAGTTTTTTCACCTTCCCATTGCGTTTTAGACCATCCGCAACAGTGAATTTGCCAACACCTATCCTTTCTGCAATCTCTCAAACTGATTGGGATGGGTCAGCCTTCACAAACGCCTTAAAGTTCTCGTCAGATATTGCTTCAGGTCGACCGCTAGGAGCTTCATCTTCGCGGCTGAAATCTCCAGAACGAATTTTGTCGAACCATTGTCGCGCGTTGCTTTCTCCAACACTATTGGGCCCCCACACGTGGTTAAATTGTCTCCACTGCGGATTGACCCAAATTGCAGATGAAGAGAAATATCGTTCGAAGTTGCTCTTTTGACATGCCTCAAAAAGTCATGGGAGAAGGGGGTTTATCAAGCAATGTTGAAACGGCAATCATACCATCAAATAGCGCGAAAAATTCTCTTCAGCATGTACTACTGTGAGGCAAGGGAGAACGAGTTTTTAAGCAGCAACGAATGTACAAAATATAGTAACCCAAAACGCTGAGAACTTTCTGGGCAACCTAATATAAGCAACTGAAAGCATCCTATTCTCAGAATCGTTTAGCAAGTTTGAGGGTCAGATTCGGAGAACAGCATTCGAACATGCATATATGAGTGTACATCTCATCTTTAAAGGCAGTGCCGAGCTGGTATCTTCCCTTGTTAGTTCTTTTGGGCCCCGTCCGCAGCCTGCGACAGGAAGAACTGACGAATTGGACATGTGCAGTGTAAAACAACTGGTGAAGA